TTCGCTTCTCGACATTCCTCATCCCACCATCCCACCTTCCCTTTCTTATTTCCCAACTCCTCCTCTACTTCTTTTATTGCCTCTGTTATTCTTGTTTCCATTTCTTCCCATTCCTTATTCAACTCTTCTTCTTTTTCTTCCACCTCTCCTATTTTTTCTCTAAACCTCTTTGTTCCTTTCTCGTTCCACACCCCCCTTCTTCTTTTCTTCCACCCTCCTCTCCTGCCTTCCTCCTCTTCCCCTCTTCTTACTTCTATTTCCAATGGGTGATGGTCCGAGTCTACTCTCTCCCCCACTACCATGCTCACTATCTTCTCTCTTACTTCTCCTTCCCCTATTATGTAATCAATCACCGTACCTCCTCTTCCCCCCGTGAAAGTAAGCTCCCCCTCCTCGTCCCCTCTCACATTTCCATTAAATATCTCCCATCCTCTCTCCTCTAAGCTCTTTACCAACAGCCTCCCCTCTTTGTCCACCTTCTTGTCCTTCGACCTTCTTCCTTCTCCCAGTCCTCCTCCCTCCTCTTCCTCTATCCTCCCACCTTCTTGACCAGTCCTCGCATTAAAATCTCCCCCAATTATCGTATACCTTCCTTCTTCTTTCTTTTCCATTCTATCTCCTAACTCCTGTACGATCTCCTCCATCCCCTCTTTCTTTGCATACACCCCTATAATATTCCAGTTCTCGCCACCTGTTCTGACCTTTCCCGCAATCCAACCCTCCCTCTCTACTTCTATTGCCGTTCCCTTTTCTTTTAATCCTTTCCTTATTCCCATTATCATCCCTCCTATTGCTCTTCCTTTTTTGTTCTTTTTCTTCGCCATTTGCACCCCCCACTCGTACCCTTTTGGAAGTCTCCCCCTTATTCTTTCCCAACCCTTTTCTCCTATCCAGGTCTCTAACATGACTAACACATCTTCTTTCTTCAGCCCTTCCCAAAAATCCTTATCTTTATTTTCCAACCCAGCTACGTTCCAGAATACTATCCTCCAAACTGACTTACTTTCCCCCTCTTCTTCCCTTCTAACTTTCGCATTGTCCTTCTCTATCTCCCCCCTCTATCCTCTTCTCCTCTCATTCCCCCGTCTCCATTCCTACCTCTCCCTCTCCTCCTTTACCTTCTTTCCCTTCCTTCCCTCTGCTCTCCTTTCTTCTCCTTCCCCTTTCGTCCTTTAACACCTCCTCTTCTATATCCCATCTCCACCAAGTATTTTCCAACCTTATTCTGCCTGCCTTAATCCATGCCCTCCTACCCTCTCTTTCCTCCCCTCTCGCTATCTCTCTCAACCGCCAATTCGTTCTTCTTTCCTCCCACGATAGGTCCTCCGTAATTCTTTCCTTTCTCCCCACTAGGCTCCTCTTTTTTTCCATAACCTCCCATTTCTGTTCTTCGTTTTCCAATTTTAACAGCACCATTTCCCTTCCTTTTTCTGCATCACCTCCTATTCTCTTCACCTCTGTAACCTTTACTTTCGCTCCTATTCCTTCAAGCAACTTTTCTGCATTTTCTCTCCTCCCTCCTTCTTTTACTTCCAGCCCTCTTATTACAATGTTTCTTCTTCTCTCCTCCTTTTCTTTCCTTTCCAGCCTTCTCTCCAGCTCTCTCATTTTCTCCCCCACCTCCCCTCTACCGTTTCTTTCCTCCTCCTTCTTCTCCTCCTTCCTCTCTTCTATTTTTTCCTCCAATCTCCTTATTCTTTCTTCCATTTTCTCCTTCTGCTTATTTGTCTCTTCCCTCTCCTCTTTCCATCTCTTCTCACGCTCCCTAAACTCCCTTCTCAGGTCCTCTATCTCTTCTCTCATCTTCCTACCCTGCTCCTTGAAACCCTCCCTTAGCTCTTCTCTCACTGCCCTAAATTCCTCCATCATTTCTCCCATTCTTTCTCCCAACTCCTTCACACTTATCTCCGAGTCTTTTTTAGGAGATCTTGCCGTCATATTACTTCTCTTAAAGATCTCCTCCTTTTCCTCCCCCCCGCTCTTCTCCATTTCCTCCCTCTTCCTCTTCCATAACTTTTCTATATTTCCCGTGCTCCCCCTTCTAACTTTCTCCTTTTCCTTAACCTTACCTATCGCACCCTTTCCCTCCTTCCCGTTTTCTTTCCCTTCACTCATTTCCTCCTATCTCGGCTCAGTTCCCCCTCTAGCTCCACAACCTACTCTATGCCCTGCCTCGTGTTGTTGTCCGCGTCCCGGATTCTGCGTCGAGTCGCCCCTCTCTCTTCGCTATCGTTCGCGCCCCACCTCGTGCCGCCGCTCTCGGCTCGGTTCACCTGCCGTGCGCCCCTCTAGCTCAGCT